TTCACATCCACAGGGACAAAGATGTTGAGGTAGAGACAGTCCTCACTGACCTATTTGGCACAGTGGAAGAAATAGTCAGTCTGTTTTTTGATCATTTAAAATCAATATGTCATTTAGTTGTAGCTAAAATTATATTGTCAGGCTACAAAACACTATTGTTCAAGTATATTTATAAATGTAGGGTTAGAGGGGATCTATTTGTTTTTCATTTTTTTCTGCCATATACTATATCTACATCTGTTACAATGTCAGATGTTTGTACGAACTGTGGCCAAAGTTTCAAATAATGAGGTAAACATATGCAAACGTAATCCCTGCTCCAGAGAGCTCTGAATACTAGGTTTCCTGGGGATTTTTCTCCTTTCTCCAGTGCTGGCACATTGCTAAAATTAAGGTCTGGTTATGCAAGACTACTCTGCGCAGACACTAAAGGACTGCATTTAGAAGAAATTATTAGGGCTTAACAATTTCAAGTTAATTTGCAGAAGACAGCAGGACAGTAAAAAGTTCCTGTTCGTTCAGCCAGGGCTACATGAGAAACATCATCGTCAGGCTAAGCCAATCAGAGGCAGAGTAGGGAAAATATGTCCCCTTTACGCAGCCACTATTTTTTAAGGCTAAGTTACGTTACACTGAAGCTTGGTAAAAAGCTCAGAAACTCAACCTTCCAGGTTAGCTTATAGCAGGCTAGTTAGCTACTAAGGTTTTGAAAAAAAATATTCAGTATTGCCTTCACAATAGATTTTAGAGACTTTTTGGTGTAGTAAGGCCTTTTCAGACAGGGAACTACTCTTATAAATACATCTCCTAGAAATTGAAAACTCAATTATATAACTTCTAACTTTCAAATTAGTTCAGTTAGTAAGTTTAAAAGTGAGTTTAGTTTGGTTGAGTACGCCAACTAGTTCTACTCTGTGATTACCTCTAGTGTTTAGTTTAGCTAGCGTTAACCTTCCTACCTGATCACCTCTCATTGAAGATGAATTACTAAGTGTGTTTCCGGTCTGAAAACGCCTTTAGGTGAACTGGGACTCATGGTCCCAGTATTCCTAAAATCCTGGCTACGGCCCTGCAGGGGAAGATGTGTACACTTTCATTGTAATGGATGGGTGGAATCTTGGAGTCCAGAATTCTTGTAATACATCCATAGCTTAGCTCTTAGTGGCTCTTTAGCTCCGTCATGATCAACTGGATTTATGTGCACAAAATATCTTTGAGAAAGGTTTATATAACCAAAACGCAAATCTGTTTTCAAGGCACAATTAAGGACTTTCTAGCATCTAGCAGGTGGAACTTATTTTACTGTTGTACTCACTGTAAGCCACTCTGTCCCAAAATACCTAAAATGCAAACATGTTATTACATGCCAAAGTGAACTATCTCAACAACATGCAAATAAGTCAGAAGTTGTGTTGTTCCTTACTTTTTGAGGACACTCCTCAGGTCCCCTGCAGGCCTGCACACATGCCGCCCTGGGGAAGGATGCGTCATAAACCCCTGTCCAAGGACTCACAGGTCTAGGGGGCTTCCAGCGATAAGCCCCAACTGGGGGGTCTGCATATGGTATCCCATAGAATATATGGGCCTTCTCCACTGTAATCCCCTTGATCTGGCCATCTTTGGTTGACACCACAGGTCCAGGAGCCCCATTTGTATCCCGACTGACTGTTTTGTCCTTGGTTTGCTCTGTGATTGAGAGGCCCTCCTGCCGTACCAGCTCCTTCAGGGAGTTTATCTCAAAGTCTCTGTTGATGATGAGTGGCTCCTCTCTCACCAGCAGCCCGGGGAAGATACTTCTCAGAAAGCTGACAAGGTCGATGTCATCATCATTTTTCATTGCCTCTCCAGAGGCCAGCACTAAACTTAGTGTGCACAGCAGCAGCCAACAGTGCCAGCTCTCCATATTGCGTTAGAATACTCTTATACTTCCCAAGACCCTGCTGCTCAGATTCTGATTTGACTTGAATTATAGCCCAGCAGAGGTAGAAAAAGTTGCAGCCCCCACAAGCCAACAGCCTGAAACTCTTCAGATACTGTGCATACTTGTGACTCCAATTTAGTATGTTGCTTGTTAAGATTTATCAGACAAAAGCTCCTTTGTCTGATTGCTGTCCAGTAGACCCTGAACAGCTGGACACAGCGATGCAGGACCAGTAATAGAGGACAAGTCGTCTTTCGTTTGCCTAATGTAATCACAAAGTCACACAGAAGGTAAATGAGAATAAGTCTTAGAGCAGGCTTCAGGAAGGCATAAGTGTTTGTTTCGGGTTTCTTTCTTTTTTTTTAAATCAGTTTCTTGCCATGCCGCTTGATCAGTTACTGACGTTTGAATAAAATATTTACACATTTATTTGTGTACTTTGCAGATGGTGGACTGCAAATTTCATATAGGTGCACAATGCCACCTACAGGCCTTCTGCGTCACAACATGCAACATGGGGTTCCAAGAGACTTCTGAGGAGTCATGACAGCAGGAAGGCAAAAATGTCACAAAGAATTATTTATTTAATTATTTCCCCCTTTTCTTTTTTGCCTTTTTCTTTACGAAATACTGAATACTTAGCAATTAAAGCTGAAGCAATCTTAGATTGGAAGAACTGCAATTTATCAGTCCCTCCAGGATTTCTGAGGGGCCTGAGATTGTTGCAGTCTAAAATGCCTGATTTTGCGGCAGCTTTTCTAAAAACGTTTGGGGCGTTTTTTGCGATGAAATAGTGAGATTTCCCGGACCTAACCTGAACCCTGCATATTTAAAACCAGCTTACCTTGATTATTTCAGGGCTTGCAATTTACCGGGACGCAGCAGCCCGTGTCACAGTGAGTTGTCTCGTCTGATTTCCTCCATGCGTTTCTGCCACTCTGTCAAGATCGAAAGCCTACTGTTTTTCACGGTCCTTTTTTGTCGGCAAGTGAGACGTTACTTGTAAATCAGGAAATGACAAGCTGACATAACGTAACTGGAAACGGCGAGGATAGGACAAATTTGAGGGAGTGTCACGCTGAATTCTCGGGAATTTGTTGCGATTGCGACATCTCAAATTCTGGATAGACTGAATTATGTCCACACTAAACCTAAAATGTAGTCTTTGGAGTTGTTCTGCCTGTCCTTTTGTTTTCATCACAAAGGCTAGTCTCCAATATTCTCCTCTTTCGTCATGATAGGCCTTCTGACTATAAGAATAGAATACTATTGTATCAGGTAATCCACCGTCACGTTTACTGATAAAACAGGTGAACGTGGGCAAGTCTGGTCCATCAACCATCCGTCTGACAAACTTTACATGGTTACTTGCTACTTTGTGATAGGCTACATTTGTTCGAAATTTGAATGCACTTGTAGGCCTACCTACGACAAGCATTGTGAGGGACTCATCAAGAGGCTATTAGGCTACACAGTTCAGGAATCACTTTTATGTCTTAGCTTTGGCAACCCGTTCTCATCCCAAGGTCAAGAACCGTTGGCATTGCCGTTTAACGCCCTGTGTAGTCCGGGTCTGACCACCAATCCACCCCAATCAACTCCTTACTCTTATTTCTACTCGGCCTACTTTAGTTTTACAAAAGGCTTCCCCCATTGAGTTCAACCATGACGCTGAAGGACGTGTCAAAGCATATTTGAGCCCTGGGAATGAGAATGGGATGGCTTTGGAGGGACTTTTCTAAATTTGAGAAAATAACCCGGATGAAATCATCGTCATCATCATTGAGATGCATTATAGTAAATGTGGGTCCAGTGTTTTATACAAGGACATATACAAGGGACTGGCATCGGTATTAGTTTTAAATGTATCATAGGCCTATATTATATGAAAAACAAAAGACTTCTAGTAACTTGGTGAAGCAGGTGAGTGAATGGTGCATTCACATGCACCTCGGATAATCCCATCTCTCGAGTTTGAAGTCCTTTCAACTTCGGTTTGTTCATGTGCTTTTAAAGTGTGAATGTGGGAACAACGTGGACGCTACTAAAAAGAAGTGTTGAATCAAGACTGCTGAAACAGTTTGGAGCTTTCTATTACAAAGTGATTTTTGTCCCAGAGTTGTTAATGCACCAGTAGGCCTATATTAGGCAACCTGAAACTACAAAAATATTGCTTGAAGGCCTACTGCAAATAGGTTGTGGACTGTAAACTAACAGTTATAACCTAATATCATATTACAATGAAATGTTATCAAAACATGAATAGGCCTTGTCAGAGTGTACCATCCTGTCTGCCTACAGCCAAGGGTGTCACTTGGTGTTGAAAAGTGGCAGGGACATTTAAGGGCTCATATGGGTGTTATGAAACACTTAGTCCATGCCACGTGATAATGCACAATATTGGAGTCAAGAGAACAAGATACTCCAATTCTATTTGGAAGAAGTATTCAATGATGATATAAGCTATTCGATCAGGGGGTCTGGGGGTCCTCCCTCAGAAGATTTTGAGTGTTAAACTATTAATTTTCTGCATTCTGCAGACATTTTCTGCACCAATTTATGGTGTAAATGTCTTTATTTATAAAGGGAAAAAAATTCATGTGGTCGTGATAATTCAGAATATAAAAATCGATTATCGAATATAATACAATAATCACCAGCCTGTTTTTTTTTGGACAAGGCAGATCTGTTTCTTCTATATTTACTTTGCATTTCATGTTTTCCTATTGTGCAAGTATACCTTTCTCAAAGAATTTTATTTGTTATTTAACATTTCTTGTTGCAAGCTAATTTTCAAAAAACTTTTGGCAAATTCTTTCAAAAAGCGGTTGGGGACATGTCCCCAGCGTCCCCAGTGTAAATGACACCACAGCCTACATGATTTCGCACCATTAATCAAAGGTTTCTAACCATCAACCATGTTGAGAGCCATGTTTCTACATATAGGATGTCAACAACTCAGCAACTCTACCAACATTTTCTCAAATTTTCTGAGTTGTTCCAACCTCAGGGGGCGTTCACGTAGATTTTCCCAAAGACACCACATGAAAGCACAGGAAGGCAGCGCACACCTGCCACTCATTAGCAGTCTGTCATTTCCAGCCAGGCCAAACACAACATGCTCTCCTTCGCAGGAATTGCCACGAAAATGTAAGAGAATAAGTGCCGGTTTTATGTCCCCTATCTCTTCCGAATTCAACGAATTAATCAGCGACCTTGAGTGTCATGAAAGGTGCTATCAGATAAAATGTATTACTTAGTATTTATTAGGCTATTTACATTTTCAGGAACTCCTTAGAGTTTTCGTTAAGCTTCTTCATACTGGTGTCTCATATATCGTTGGGTGAGTAGCACACTGCATCAGACATCAGGCCTATTACTGCGTTAAAATAAACAGGAGTTTGTTACATTTGGATACTGTTTTCCTTCCAGGACGATCCAGTGGTATTTCCTTCTCAATATGCTGGATGAGCAAGGACGACGCTCTGGAAAGGTAAACATAAGAAACAAGCGTTTTTAAGGGTGTAGTTTACAGTGTTTCACACAGTGCTTAATGATGCCTGATCAAGTGTTTATCTGCCATGTAAAAAGAACCTGTCGCCAAACTCCATTCACAAAACCACAAATTAGTGTTTCTGGGCAAATCTGGACCCATGGTAGAACATAACTTAAGCCTACATAGATTTTAGGACTCATTATATATTTGTGGTGATTTCGGCATACCTATAACAGCTATAATTGAAAATGCTCTCAAATGCAGGATCAGATCAAGACTTTTTGGAGCACAAAGTAGATTCCCTCACCCTCTATGAAATAATTTTTTTTTTTTATTTGTTTGGAGTTCTGTGGTGGCCAAATGTATGTGCATACCTGAACATTAGACTACACTGCAACATGTAATTCCAAAATGAGAAACACTAATCTGCAGCTGTAACAACCTCCACTCCTCTTTTTACCAGCTGGTGGAACCTGGCTGCATGAATTTGCTCCCATTCAGACACAAGAGCATTAGATAAGTTGGCACTAGTGTTGGATTGAGTTGTTCCCCACCAAAACCATTTCTGTATGGATCTTCATTTGTACACTGGGGCATTGTCATGTGAAAACTGGAAAGGGTCTTCCCCATATTGTTGCCACAAAGGTGGAAGCGTGCACACACATGCTAAAAATGGAGTGTAGCAAAGCTTTTTCTTCCATCCTTTAAGGCAAAATGGAAACATATGGCTCAATGATACAGCGCTGAAATCCATCAGGAAGCTGGGTAAAGTTACCTCCCTGACGGTGTACCCAGCTGTAGAAAACAAGCTAACGCTTCAGTATGGAGGCTCTGTTCAGGAATGGACTTTAAAAATCAACCCATGTAAGAATCTTTTTAACTTTTTTGATATTTTTACTTGATAAGAACTACTGTTATTGGATGTGAAATGAAATGTGTTTATCTCACTCTAAGGTACAAAGTTAACTAAAATCAGCGGCAGGCAGAAACCCCTAAAGCAACCAACAACTGCCACCAAGGTACTTCTGATATAACATGGAACTACAGTTTTATACTGATCTGATGGTCATGTTATATTTGTATACACAGTCCATTTCACTTTTCTGCAGGGCTTCCTGGAGTTGATGAGTCCCACTGAGGTGTTTGCATGTGAAAACGGCACACTATTTTTCCACCAAGATGAAAACTTCTTCCTTGGAATTGGTGAGATTATCTGTGTGTACTTATTGTAATCTTAAATGTGAAATTACATGTTGACCTGCCCTCAGTTTTTTAATTTTTTAGTTTGGGTTTAGCATTGATGTTTTTTGGTCTGCTTAGCAGATTTCCTTCATGGCTGCTGTCGAGTGGGCGCTTCGTGCTTACGTTCAGTATTAGCACGCAAGTTGTGCCCGAGCTGTTTATCCATACAGCGTGAGCATAAAACTCACAGGTTCTTGCTGTGCAGAAAGGCCTACAGTGTAAAACCGGATTTAGAGTTGAAGTTTATTCAAAATATGCTTTTTGCTTTCTTACACTCGTGTCTTAAGTCAAAATCTGACCAACCAATGTGTAAAATCCATGTTGATCTTACACTTTTGTCAGCTGTTTCCTCCTGTTTCTAGCCTTTATGCTAAGCTAACCTGGCGGTTGCTGGCTCTAGTTTTATATTGAACTGATAGACATGAGAGTGGTATCTCTTTGCAATAAAGTGGATAACAATTATTCCCAAATGTCAAACTTTTCCTTTAAAGGTCATTAAAGTGGCCCTATTATGATTTCATTTATTTTCAGATAGTTTGGGGGTTCCTAGGACTGCATTCTTCTGGACAGAGACCTCTGATGTTTTACCTGGAATTTGCTGTAGCAACTCTCCCAGTTTGGGAGTCACAGTCCCCAGTGCTCTGATTACCACTGGCACCACTGTTGCTCTTACTTTCCACATCTTTTCTAGCTCCTCTTCCAGCCCTTGGTATTTCTCAAGCTTCTCGTGTTCCTTCTTCTTGATGTTGCTGTCGCTTGGGATTGCCACATCTATCACTGCAGCCTTCTTCTGCTGTTTGTCGACCAACACGATGTCTGGTTGGTTAACCGTCACCAGTTTGTCAGTCTGGATCTTGAAGTCCCACAGGGTCTTAGCTCCGTCATTCTCAACTACCTTAGGAGGTGTCTTCCATTTTGACCTTGGGACTTCCAGCCCATACTGACGGCAGATGTTCCTGCACACTATGACAGCTACCTGGTTATGTTGTTCCACATACGCACTTCCTGCCTGCATCTTACACCCTGCTGTTATGTGCTGTACTGTCTCAGGGGCATCCTTGCACTGTCTGCACCTGGGGTCCTGCCTGGTGTGGTAGACCCCAGCCTCTATTGATCTTGTACCGAGTGCCTGATCTTGTGCCGCCACGATTAGTGCTTCTGTGCTTTCCTTCAGTCCAGTCTTTTTTCTTTCTACTATTTGTCTGTGGTACATGCCGTGCAGCGACTTGTCTCTCCATGAAGGTTATTCATCTTCCTTGTCCTCATCTTCACGTTTCTGCTGCCTGAGGTATTCACTAAGTCCTTCATCTTTGGGGGCCATCTTCCTGATGTACTCCTGGATCTTCGTCATTTCATCCTGGACAGTGGTCTTGACACTCACTAGCCCTCGGCCTCCTTCGCTACGCTTGGTGTACAGTCTCAGGGTGCTGGATTTGGGGTGAAACCCTCCATGCATTGTGAGGAGCTTTCTCGTCTTGATGTCAGTGGCCTTTATCTCCTCCTTTGGCCAGTTTATTATACCAGCGGGGTATCTGACTGGCAGGGCGTATGTGTTGATGGCTCGGATCTTGTTCTTCCCATTCAGCTGCCTTTCTCTGTAGGTATTTGGCTGTGGCGGACTTCCTTGCTGCCTCCTCATGCTCAGGCTTCAGACTGGTTTCCAATGCTTTTTTCTGCTTTCGTGCTGAGCTGACGTCAGAGCTGTCCATCCAGCAACTCAAAATATGATGTAGTTTCACCAAAATCAGTGAAAAAGATAAAAGTTGTGTGTTTTGTACAGTATTCAAACATATCTGGTACCTTCAGTGGCCACCTGAAACACTCCAATCCGGCATATTTGGTCTGATAAACCATAAAAGCATCAAATTCAGTGCCTTGTATCACCATTTTCTAAGATAAGTTAAAGCTGTCCTATGCAGCACACCAGCAAAAGGATGCGATAAATTGGCTTGTTTCAGACTGAGAGTGAACTGAGGACCAGTATAGGATAAATAAGTATGTGAACAGGATTGGATTTGAACTGTGACTCATGCAAAGCTACTCTAGTGGAATCTCAGAATAAAAATATAGAGCTGTAAATGTACGTTTTGTCACCTCATGGGTTCAGTGATGATGTTGGTCTGTTTATTTGTCTAAAACGTTGGTCCGGAACACATATACTGTTCTGTAACTGTTCACCAGACTGATGTATTTTCTGAGGGTTTTTGTGGCCCACAGAAGATGGATCCTAATGTTTTGTGGTGACCTTTGGTCAACTGATACCTCCAGGCCAATATCTTATATCATCTAGACAGCAATGAAATTTGCTGAGCACATTTATGCAAGTGGATTGTTTATTATTAATGATGCTTCAAATGACTTCTTCTGTTTTCATGACCACATTTGTATGACTTAAACTCATAATTTTCTCATCCTAGGCTACACAATGCGTCTCCCTGTCAAGCTCGAGTCCTGGGCTCCCTCCATGTTGCTGGTCTCCTGGGTGGACAACCGCCCAGGTGTCAGCCACAGCTACACTGCGACCCTGTACCACACTGAACTAGGCTCCTATAACACTCTCAGCATGGACACTACGTCCGACAACCACTACTGCTTCACAGGTCTGGACTCCTGCGGTTCATACGTGGCTTGTATGGAGACTGCAGGCAGTCACTCCTTCACCTGCTTCTCTACTATTACCGGTATGGACTGGCGGTTGGATGGAGTCGCAGACATCCACAAATGATTGACAGCAAAAAAAAAAAAATAGTTTGAAATGCTTGTTGGTATAAAGATAATTAGAAGAAGAAAAACAAGTATTAAGCAAGTATCATGTCTCTACAAGTAGATTTTTATATCTTAGTAAAATTAACTACCTGGAAGCCAGGGCGCTGAATATCTTTTATAATTTCAAGTACACATGAATGCTAATCATATAGTCTATGATGCTAATGTTGCTTCACATTTGCTGGATGTGTAAATGAGCCACTGCTCAGTTAACCACACTTAAAAGTTGATGATACCCAAAACACATTGCCAACTCTTTGTGCCTTTCCCACCAGACCCAGACATTCCCAAGAACTTTGAGATGACATCACGGACCACCAGCAGCTTATTGCTGTCTTGGGACTTCCCTGAGAACCACAAGATGTCCCTCTTCCTCCTCACCGCCTTCTACCTCAATGGTACAGACCACGTCACAGAAGAGGTACTCCTGTGGCAGAAGGACAGCTTAATGTTCATCTTGTCTGATCTGCAGCCCTGCAGCAAGGTTAAGTTTGGCCTGCAGACGGTTTGCCCGGCAGGGATGGAGTCCCGCTATAGCAAGATGGTCCTGAACGATGGAAACTCAGGTAAGTCCTGCAAGGCTTGATGAACTGACTAAATTACTTTTTTGTAATTGGGAAGAGTTGCTTTAGGTAAAAACTGTAGTGCTTAACACAGTCCCTTCGGTGCTCCTCAGCTTACTCCAGCATCGAGGCCTTGCATCAGACGTCGTTTGGCCCAGACAGCTACACCCTGAGCTGGGAGGTGAGGAACACCTCATCCATCTCTGTTTTCAGAGTCTATCATGAGGGGGCGCTGCAGGGCACCACGCTCATGACCAACTACACTGTGAGGGGGCTGCTGCCATGCCAACAGTACCAGGCCAAGGTGGAGGCGCTGTGTGGAGACGGTGTGCTCATGAGTGCCAAGACGGTCACAGCGCACACAGGTAAGGCAGAAACTAATGAGAGAACACACACTGGTAGAATTAATATGGTTCCATACACGCTACTCATTATGCAGTATTACTCTGTTAACAGAAAGCCGGCAAAGTGATGAGATAGCTGAACCTGCAGTAAAATATCTTCTTGTCCCCATTCCCATCAGTCCTTACGAAGGGGAACTTGGCCATATGTTTTTGTGTCTGGTAGTAGGAGGAAGAAAACAAGTTTTACAAGTTAGCTATATGGGGTCTTTTAGACTAGACTCAAGTTACTTTGGACTTTGATTCAATAAAAGATCAATACTGAGGACAGACAGTGGATTGTAAGTTTACGGGTTTTGTTCTGAGGTGGTTAGCGTACTGTTGAAATTTAAAAGGAAATTGCACAACTTAATAATTTCCCTCAAGAAAGAAGAAATCATGTGTGATATCTAGACAGGCCCCGACCCCGTCTGGATTCATAAATTGCCACTCCTTATACCATAGCGTGCCTGATGCAGCCACAGCTATTAAACGGTCTCTTACTCTACCTGTGACTATTGCAAACACTCTTCTCAAAACTAATTAAAACTTATCTGAGAACCATGGCGCAGGAGCTGGCCATCCTGAGTATTAGAAATCAAAACACTCACAACCTGGACTTAAAGGGGTTAGTATGGGATCAAAAGTAAAAAAAACAAAACAACCTTTACTATCTCACCAGAGGAAATTTTGTTGCCACCAGGTATCTTAACTCATTCATCATAAAGGTGCCGAGGTTTCTGTGCAAACAAAAGAGGACAGTCCAATATGGCCTGGGCCTTCATTCGGACCTGCCTATAGTAGAGGTCGGAGAGCTGCAGCTGGTTCAACCCAATAATCTTACTGGTCACCAGATCACTTTCATTTTTGCTCATCGATACACCAAAGTGTGTGCATGTATACTCACATGTAGGAAAACGGATTCTGTAGTATTGCTAATAGTTTTGCATTCACAGTTGATGTAATGTTTGTTTCTCTGTTTGAGAAATTTATTTAAAATGTAAATAATTTAGCCATAGTTTTGTTGTAAAAGGTTCGTTCTAGCTTCACAGTACAGTTGTGTAACAGGTGTACTGTTACACAACTGGTGGGCTTTTTACAAGAACTTTGATAATGAAATCATGTCCTCTGCCACAATGAGCAGTGTTGGGCAAGTTACTTCCAAAATGTAATACATATAGATTACTAGTTACTGTCATTCAAGAGTTATGTTATTTATTAATTAGTTATATTACAATACTACTGTCGCTAGGGGTGGGAATCACCAGAGGCCCCGCGATACAATATTATTACGATATTTATGTTGCGATTTTAAATTAAATTGAGATATACTGCAATTTATTACCTTTTTCCAACTTCCAATTAGGTCCCTAAAGTCAAACTTTGTCAACATCTGTTTAACTAAAAAGATACACTACTCTGTGTGTTCATATCACTTTTTCAGTCCTCTAATGTTCCTGTTAAGTTTTGTAATGGACTAAAAAAGCAATAGATTTTATTATTCCAGTACCAAAAGTTTGAAATGTTTGTAGGTGTTAGAGTATTATTAAAACCAAAACACAGCATAATTTCATGTTAAAACGCGTTGTAACTCGCGTTACTGAGATTGTAATGGGTATAATTTAATTATATTATATTTTATATTACTAACCTGTGTCCAGTGTTCAAAATAGTGTTATTATATTTATTTTGTGACATTTAAATATCCACACTATGAAAGGTGTTAAATTCCCTCTCTGCTGTAGGAAAGGGGCCCACTCAGGCCCACCATTAGCTGCAGGGGGGGACCCTTACGTTACGTGTTTGCGTTATGGTTCTGGTTGCATACTGTTTCTCTGTTAATATATTATGTACCGAAGTATCTGCATGCACCACAAAGGAGATTATTTATTCTTCTAAAATTGATTGATGCATGCATATATGGGTATAGGACACCCAAATACATCTAGCTGCGGATAGAGTGGTAGTTCCTGTGGATAGAGTGGTAGACCCACTATGAAAAGGCAGTGTTAGGAAGTTCTAAATGGGAAATGGATTGAACTTATACAGTGCCTTCCTAGTCTTCCGACCACTCAAAGCACTTAACACTACATGTCACATTCATTCACTGATGTGATGTTTGGGCCAATCTACATGAAAGTTCCTTTAAAAACTACATGCAAGTGTACCTAGACAAAAATGATGCTGTTTTGAAGGGGAACGGTGGTCACACCAAATATTGATTAGATTTCCCTTTGTATTTTGTTAATTGATAAATATAATCTCTTAACATGCCTATTGAAAGCATTCTTAGTTTACAGCATTTTTCCTATACCCGCCTAAGTCTTTTGCACAGTACTGTGTCTGTGGCCTGATCTGTCTGTATTGATGTATCCAGGAACACATGGTGTGTCTGAGCTGAGGTATCGCTCTAACGACTCCACCGCCCTGTGGAAACCCAGCACCATCAACCAACCAGCTGTGGCCTTTTTATATATGAACTGTCTCTGGAGAATGGCACCAGCATCCAGGGCAGCCGTGTGACTGACCCAAAGCTGGGTCTACCGGGGTTGGAGGAAGGGAAGACCTATGTCCTCAGTGTGTGGGAGGAATGTGACGGACAGTGGGAATCGGAACATTCTCGTGTGGTTTTTGAGGGAGCTTATTCATCCTTAGGGCTCCTCTTGAGGGCTGCTGGATCTGATCTGAACAGAGGTCAGTCTGAATGTTCCATTAGTCCTATAAGGACAAGGGATCTGTAGTTGTGTGGTGGTTTTTAGTTTGAATGTCTGTTTGTTGACTAGACATAAAGACAATCCACTGAACATTTTGTGACTGTATTAAACAGCAATCTGTTGAAAGTATTAATTCAAGAAAGCTGGAATAAAAAGAAAAATAATGTGTAAAAAAAACTAAACAAAAACACATTATTTTTTGTTATTTTTCTCCAGCGTAGGCCTAAATCTGATAATGATATACTGGATTTCTTTAATAATCTTTCATGCTGTGTCTCCATTTTGTGACTTCTGTAGGGCTGGATTTAGATTTTTCCGCCATGGTACTCACAATGGTCGTGCCCTGGTCACTACCCGACGATCTACAGGATGATGTGTCAGAACCAAGAGCTGAAATGAGGGAGATTTTTAAAGATAAGGTAGAAGAATCTTCATTGTTTACATATATCTCAATGAAATTTTAATGGTTTTTCAAGCTAGCTGCGTGGCCCTGTGGATGGTAATGTCGGTGTGTCGGTCTCCCTCAAAATTAACGAAATTCCCGTCAGCCTCAGCTCAGCTCAGCTTTGTGTTTAGCGCTTATTAGCAGAAAGCTAACAAGCTAAACTAAGATTGTCAGCATGAGAAATATTATACATGCTTAACATCTGCATGTTAGCATGCTGACGGTAGCATTTGCTCAAGTAAAGCCTCACAGAGCTGCTACCATGGCTGTAGACCAGGGGTCATGTTCAAGGGCCAGAATTTCTACACTGTGTCGGCCGGCCTTTCAATTTAAAGAAATTATTTAGACTTAATTAGCATATTCTTGTTTACCCCCAGGTAAATCCTTAATAATAACTATACATACTTAACTAGAATATGCTCTCAGACTTCTGCCAAGGAGGAAGTTCATGCTGATGGTTAAAGTCTGTAATTGTAAATATAACATTGGCAGGAAATATTATTCAACCTGTTTCGCTAACGCTATTATGCATTTGAGACATTTTTGTGCATGTGTAGTTACTGGTGGTAACAGCAGATGTGAATTAATAGCCTACTGCACGTCACAGAAGTCAGGGGCAGCAAATCAACTATTGTCAGGCTGGCAGTAATTGGTCTTTTTCAATAATAATGTGAGTAGGGCTGACCCAGAATAGCATCGAGTCTTTGAATAGTCGAAGATTCGATGCTTTGATGGGCGGAGCTTGATTCGACTGTCAATCTCACAGTCGACGCTTCGCAGCGAAACAAGGATCATGCCATTTTGGTGAAATGGGGGTGCTCAACGTCTGAT